GATGTCTGGCATTCCGGACCGTAGGAGTCACCTACCGAAAGGCTACGGCTTGCAGGCACGAGGCGGCTGCGTCGGCGGCGTGGTCGGGGTGGGAAGGGGATCTTTGGGGTGGAAAGGGGATGCTTATAACTCTGTCGTTCTGGACTCTGCGTTCTGCACCACCTTCCTTCTCTGGTCAGGGATTTGGGTCACCCAGCTCAGCCTCCTTGCTGATCCCGGGACGTGTCCCGCTGCCGAGCGGCACATGGCCTGATCACCGTGTGCCATCTCCCGGCGGGGCAGCCGGCAGTGCCGGGTACGAGGCATAGCCCTGGCCTGTACGCTGCGCAGGGGGGCACAGCCCTGCCTTGTGTTTTCCATCAGGGTAACCATGTCCGTGGGGTGTTTTTTGGGGTGATCCTGTGCCCCATGTGCTTTGATGTGGTTTTGGTAGTAGGCAGGATCACAGAGCAAGGACTTTCAGATGTGGAGTCTGCTGGCCTCTAATTCAGAGCAAGGGCTGCCATGTTCTGGGCAGGCTGGCAAACAAGTTTGGGAGCTTTCTGGTCCGCAGCTCTTCCTCGTGAAATTCAGAGAGGATTTGGGGATCTTCTCCACAGATGGGCTTGGATCTCTGACTATTTCTCTGCCCCATGCCGCGGTTTCCCAAGCTGTGAAGCCAGGCGACCAGTGACCACCACGCTGATGGACGATCAGACCGGCTCTGAGCTGCGTGGCCGCGTCCTGCGAGTGCCTCGGAAGGCGGCCTGCGTGTGGAGGGCTTGTGCGTGGTGGGACGCCGCTGCCCCCAGCAGAGAGCTGTTTCCACGCAAAACGCTTGTTGTAAACTCTTCTTTGCTCTGAGGCAAGATGGTTAACAGCACTTAGCCAGTAAGGTTAAAAATACCCTTCCCTTCCCCGCCTCGTTGGCTTTGCTTCGCCTTAGAAAAATAGTTCTTTTGCCTAAGAAAATAGTTGTGTTTTGAGCTACCAAAATAACTCCCCGTGTCAGCCTGGTAGAGTTTGAGGTGGAGCCGGGCTCTTCCCGTTCTCTCCTGTTTGACAGGAGCTACTGACTCAAGACTGTGACTCTCCTCTTCCATCAGAAGGGGCTGAATGAGCATCTTGGACTTGGGATTTCTAAGAACAACAAGAAAAAAACCCCTTCTGGGGCAGAGACCTTCCCGTTAACACCAAACAAGGAGAAATCCCCGTGTAATCAATCCCGTGCAGGGACTCGTGCAAGGAGGAGCCTCCGCTTTGGTGGGAAGCCATCGCTTGAAGAGCATCTCCGAGAGTGCGGAAACGGTGAACGCTTTGGAAATTACTTCATTCCTGCCTCAGAGCTGTGAGCTTTTAAAAAAGAGACGGAGGATCCAGAGTTGGTTTTGCTTTTAAAAGCAGAGATGCTAAAAGGAGGGTGTGGTTGGCCAAGACAAAGGTAGGGTGTTTAAAGGCAAGGAAGGCCAGAACCTTTTTAGTGAGGAGCTGGGAGGGGAGTAAAAAGATGAGTGGGATGTACTTAGATCTGTGAGGCCAGAGAAATCGGGTGCTGTGGGTTCATTCTTTCCTTTCCCCATCGGAGACCCTGATAAAATTGAATTGATGGTTTATGGTGGAACAGGTCTTGAGTGCAAAATAAAAGTAGTAAGCCAGGGCGAGTGCTGGGCTGGTCCTTTGTGGCATTAGCACACGAGAGCGCTCCGTTTCCCTTAATGGCGAGAGGAGCCGGTGGTGTTGCAAGCCCACGCTTTGGAGATGGGAGCGACCTCTTTGTGCCCAGGGCCGGGCCACCACGTGCAGTCCTGCCTCTGCCAGCGTCTCTGGGCTTTGCTCAGCCCAGCGGAGGGTCACCATCTTACTGGTGTCCACTCATGTGTCCTCCTGCCCGGGAGAGAAGCTCCTCCTGGCAGCGTTGTGTTTTTAGCCCTCAAGGTGCTGGGGATGCAGCAAGGCTGGCTCCTCCAGGTCGCTTCTGAGCTATCCCCTGGCACGGGGAAAAGCAATATTGAGCCTGAAGATGGATCCGTCATCATCCCCAACCTTCAGGCTCAGCTCAGCTCGCTGACCCAAAGCGACTTTGAGGACGGAGCTGGTGCTCTTCCCTCCATGCTGGATAGAGGAGGATTTCCCTCGTGTCACGTTTTTTCTTCTTGGGAATCTTTTCCAGCGTCGCAACCTGCTTCTCTCTGCTTTACTGTAAATATTTGTATCCTGCTAAACGGTGATTAGAAAAGTCATTTGAAAAACAAATGTCCTTGTGTCACGCTGTTCTCGGCAGAGATCCTGTGCTGAAGAACCAGATGGCAGCGCTGGAAGAGGAGCGTAGCGTTCGCTATCTCCCCCCACCACAGTATTTTAAAGCCTGGTGCTTTTCCTTCTGGTCCTCTCACCGATGGCTTCCCTCTGCTGAGGTCGTGGCTGAAGCCCTGCATTGCCTGGAGGAGCATGTGGTGAAAATTGGCTTTAGAAAGCAGGGTGAACTTGTTGAAATCTCCCAGAAATGGGTCTGCTTCCCCAAAGCTGGTGCTGGAAGATGTTTGGCAGCACAGACCAGTGGCCTGCTGGGCAGAACGAGGTCGGGGGGAGCACATGCAGGCAGTCATGGCAAGCGGCAACAAAAGCTAATTTTCCTTTTGGGATGTGGATTGTCAGCCCTTCTGTAGGGACAGTCTCTTCTCCCCTAAATGCAGGCGTGTTTTGACTTCATCCCAAAGTGGAATAGGACGTTTGCTTACAACCCCCACAGGTTTATGGGGCGCTAGAGAAGCACAACCCCACTTGTGCTCTTTGAGACCTTATTCCTCTGTATTTCAGCCTGCTGATGATCTTCCTGTTGCCACCCTCCGCCGCCTGGCTGGCGAGGCCTGCGCCGTGGCATCCTCGGCGTCCCCAGGGGTGACTGCTCTGCTCTCACGGGAACATCCCTGCCTAGAAGGCGGCTCTGCTGTTTGCCTCGGCAGTTTTCCATTTTGTGGCGTGGATGCCTTCCTCCGAGGTCGCCCTTTTCTTGTCTCCTAGTGGCTTGTTCTGGTGTCAAATCCCTTGTGCTTTTGCAGGCAATACTACTCTTGCCCTGCAGAGCTGCCTTTTCCGTGCCGTCTTCCCCTTCGGCTTTAGTGGAGATTGAAGTGCCAGTGAGCACTCGCCCCATTAACTTCTTCCCCCGCAATGCTGTGGCGGGATCCGTGGGTCGGCAGACGGGGCTGCTTGGGCATGGCAGAAACGATGCCGGTAGAAAGTCGCCCACTTGCATTTTAAATGTCAGCGTCGTTCTGGAGCAGCAGATTCCTTGGTGGCCCACAGACCCCACGCTGCACCCGGTGGAGATCCCCTTGTGGTGACCTACGGTGAGAGTTAAAAATAAAGCTAGACTAAGCCTCCTTATTAAGCTGTCTGTCAGGAAAACCACCGGAGCCTTTACAACCCTGCTAAGCCTGAGAATAGCTGAATTGGGCAAGTAGGGGGGTTTGCCAGGCACAAAAAAAAAAAAAAGACCAAGCCACGTGGGAGAGCAGGCCCAAGGCTGTTTCTGAACCCCGTTTGGCCTCCACGCTGCTTTGTCACCAGGTACTTGTGTTGGAGAGGGTAGAGGCCGGTCGGGAGACTTCAGCTGCACAAGGTAGGGGGTGGGTTTTGCTTTGGATGCAAGCGGAGCAGCGGAGCTGTGATCGCTGCCGCTCGCCTCCAAGGAAACCCAGGCTGGGTGGGAGCTGCTGCTTCCGAGGCCAGGTGCTGCCATGGAGGTGATGGGCACCAGCTCTGCTCCTTTCCTCCATCCACCTCCGCTTTGGGAGAGGAATAATGCCGCAGGATGGAGCTGTTGGCCACAGGAGCGTTTCTGGCCCTTCGTGTATGCCGCAGGGTCTCCAAAATGGAGAGGATGCAGGATGCAGCCCTTCCCCTGAGCAGCACCAGCGTGCGAGGAATGCTTTCCCGGCCTGCGACACGGTGCCCTCTCCCAGGGACACAAAAGCCTTTCTGCGACCAGCGGGAAGCTGGAGCATCACGTCAAGGCGAGGTGAAGGCCCAAAACGCTGAGCTGGCTGCTCCGGCTTGTGCAGGGGCGAGGGGGAGCGTGTTGTGGTCTCCAAGGCACGAGGCTCGTACAGGGACCGGTCTGTTCCCCCCCCTCCTGCAGGGGGAAAGCTGGTCTGCGTTCATCCCCGGTCAGACAGGAGAGATGGAAACCAGCTTCGTTAGTGCTGCTGCCTGTTTGGCCAACGCCAAGGTGCCAAGAATCCATCCATCCATTCCACTCCTCGCAAATAAGCGGGCAGGACTGAGGAGATGATTAAATCTTTATTAAAAGAATATATATCGCGGCAGCCTGTTTGTGGGGACCCTGAAACGCTCCCTTCCGCAGCAACTGGGCGGGCGA